TATATATATATAGAATACGTGTTAATCAACTGTTTATGTTATTGGTAAGGCTTCTGGTCAATAATAGGCTATTGACTAGTAGGTAGGCTTTTGGGAGTCAAAAGTTACTCGTGGGTTTTCACTGCACAGGGGATCAGCACACCAAATCCTTGCATTGTTCAAGAATCAACTGTTTTTGCCTTAGTAACTTTATAGTTTAAGAGGCATACATGTTTCCACTTCTTATTACTATAGTATGAAATGCTGTAGGGTCAACTTGAGTCCTAAATATGTCTATAATAGTAAGATATGGAAGTAGTACTACATATACACTGAACAAAAAACACAATGTAGAATACTGTATATTGAAGCTGTAGCTTGAAGTGTAGAGCAGAGCCACTAATGAGCAGAGTTTATTGTTCTTTCAGTGCAAGCAATTTCTTTCTTTCTTTTTTTTTTTTTTTTTTTTGAGATGGAGTTCACTCTTGTTACCCAGGCTGGAGTGCAATGGCACTATCTCAGCTCACTGCAAACTCTGCCTCCTGGGTTCAGGCAATTCTCCTGCCTCAGCCTCCTGAGTAGCTGGGATTACCAGCACATGCCACCATGCCCAGCTATTTTTTTGTATTTTCAGTAGATACGGGGTTTCACCATGTTGAACAGGATGGCCTCGATATCTTGATCTCGTGATCCACCCGCCTCGGCCTCCCAAAGTGCTGGGATTACAGGCTTGAGCCACTGCGCCTGGCATTTCTTGTTTTAATTCTTTATGTCCGTGAATAAATTATAAATGATTTGCCTTCATGACCATCGGGAGACCCGTTTTTCATGTTGCTTTCCAGATAGACTTGAACCCTATACGTTCTACGATTTGTTATTTCTTCTGAAAATTACTTACAAGGGCTCTGTTATTTCTTTCACAAGGATATGTGGACGGGCCTCTGTCTCATCCTCAATGGGCAGCTGAGACATCCGGGAAACACTCACCTTCTGGTAAGGGAGCCAGAGCGTCTAAAGAGTCTAAAACCTTGTAGCAAGTGGGGAGAGGGTTGTTTTTTTTTTTTTTTTTTTATAATCCTCCTCATAGAGTACACAAGTCAGAATAAGCCTATGTCAGTTATCTGGTCTTTAACAGATCCAGGATCTGGTACAGCTGCCATGATGAACAACAGCTCAAGAGGCTCTTCCCCTACCAGGATGATGGATGAAGACAAGGTAAATGTACCCATTTTGAATAGTTATTTCAAGAATATTTAGCTTTTCCTACAACTCTCTCTTTGCTTCATCTCCTATTTGTGTGTTCTGTCTGTACTGTCTCATTTATTTTTCTGAAAAAGTAAACTGTTCTCCAAGAGCCTGAAGTCCCCTCAGTTCCCAGCATTACATCTTCAGCTGAGCATCCAGTAGGAGTAAGTACAGAGAAGTGTGGACCGAACTGGGCTATGAATTGCCTGGCGATATTGATCTTACTTTTGTCCTTGACTTGGGAGTGCTGCTGAAATCTGACTGATTTGTTGGCCTTTTCTCCTCTCTCCTGTTTGCTTAGACATTTAACCTGTGTAGAGCATTTGCTGTAACTGTAATTAACATAAACAACAGCGAAAAAAGTCCCCACTCTTCTGTATTTCAGTGTTTAATGCTCTTATGCAAAGTAAATTCATTGTAAATTGTATAATTCATTCTTATGTCTTGATTTGGAAATGCACTATTTAAGAATATCTCTACCTGTATACTAGGCAAAACCTATTTTGTAGGATCTGAAATTACAGATTGATAACAGAAGAATGTTTGTTTGAAGTGAAGTACTGAATAGTGGAAGTTTGTAATTACCCATTGAGCCAGGTCTCAGCAGGTCCTTAAAAAGTGTTCACATAGGTGTATTCTCTTGTAACTTGTTTAACTGTTAAGGCTGGTAAGTCCTCTGATCATACCTCACCATGCTTCTCTGTATTGAAATCAAACACTGATTTCAATACAGAGAAATCAAATGCAATACAATTGAAATCAAATACTGATTTCAATTTCAAGTGGTTTGAGAGTTTCCAAACCACTTTCCCATAGAAAATGATTAGGCAGTGTCTCATAGTAGACAGTATTACTAGTGAATGAAGGTAAATAGAGTGTGCCTGTGTAATGGTGTATATAACATTGCCTCTCTTGGAACATACTTTGGAGTTCCAGCACATGACTCGAGAAATACACAACTCTTGATGAATCTTTTTATCCAAGGGCAACTTGGATAAGACCCAAGACCCCTTTGAAGTAGAAGACTTCAAAGAGAGTAGAGACTACTCTGTTAGAGAGGAGAAGCAGAGGTGGAAAGAACATGGCCCTGGAGTCAAACCTGGAATTGAATTCCAGCCCAGCTTCTTACAAGCTGTGTGACTGTCCGCAAATTATCTAATACTCTCTTTGCCTGTGTTCCTGCATATTTAGAACAAGATGGTCCTATTAGAGATTTAGAGACAGGAGAATTTGAGTTAACACAGGAAAGGCCTGTTGAAGGTACTCTGAATAATTGCTATTACATGGTAGAGAATGGGTTTTTCATTCCCTTTCATTCTCTGCATTCTAAACATGGAAATTATTCTGATGGGAGGGATGTGCACAGGGAGTGACTGCCTTACAAATAGTATTAGTCAGGAATGACTTCCCTTTATGACCTCTGCTTTCCCTTCCATGTGCAGATACAAGCAATAACAACGATTATGGCAAAAATGTTCGCTCCTGTGACATACTTTTAACATTTCTAAGCTGTCAATAGTAACAAATGAGAGTGGTAGTGCTTGAGCTAATTCTTCTGCTCTTTGGACAAGTGCCTGACATCTGCTTCATTGGGTTTTAGTCTTTACTGGTGTTGGTACTTTTGTCTGTCATACCAGAGTATTTGAAAACTTCAATTGCTTCTACTCTGCAGGTTAATATGACTCCAAAAGGGCCCCCTCCTTTCCCTGGAGTCCCTCTTATGAGCACCCCCATGGGAGGCGCTGTACCACCACCCATTCAATATGGACCACCACCTCAGTTCTGTGGACCTTTCGGGCCTCGGCCAATTCCTCCACCCTTTGGTAAGAGGATGTGAACAGTAGCGATTAACTTGTAAAGCATAGTCATCTTCTCTCTCTATCCCTTGCTGAAACAACTGCAAATGCGGGGCTTTGCAATGCAGTGATGAAGTTAACTGAGCACACTGTAACTTCTCCCCAAGTTTCTTGAGACAAAAAGGGTGCTGCATAATGCCCTGTGATTAGATGGGCAATAATTGTCTCTAACAAAACAAGGAAAGGGGCTATTTATAGAAAGCCAGAAATCTTCAGCACATGTTTTTTGAACATCTCTGGCTGTGTACTAGGTCATCTTTAGGTACTCTGAGCCAGAATGGCTCTTTTGGCCCATCCCCTGTGAGTGGTGGGGAATGCTCCCCTCCACTGACAGTGGAGCCACCTGTGAGACCGCCCTCTGCTACTCTCAGTCGAAGAGATATGCCGAGAAGTGAATTTGGTGAGCATTCACATGTTTCCTTGCAACACAGTTTCAGGTGGCTTTTTCCCTTGTATTTGAGGATTCTAATGCAAACAACACTTAAGAATTTGGGTCTGTCCAGTATAGAAAGGAAAATGTCTTAATTTGTCTTGGTGGATAAGTATTCAACTGCAAGGTTTGTTTTAGAACAGAAAGTATTTATTATTTCCCTTGACGTCCTTGTATTGTTTCTTTTCAATTTTTTTATTATGAATTGTAAGCCTTTATCTTTAAATGAAAGTCCTGTGGGATTCCTCTTGCAAATAGAGCTGACCCTTGAACAACACAGGTTTGATTTGTGCAGGTCCGTTCATATGCAGAGTTTTTACAAAAAAATACCTTGGGAAATGTTTTGTAACTTTGCAATAATTAGAAAGAACTTGCAGATGAACCACGCAGCCTAGAAATACTTTTAAAAATTTAGGTATGTCATGAATGCATAAAATACATGTAGATACTAGTCTATTTTATCACATACTATTGGAAAATATACAAATACCTATTTTAAAACGTTTATCAAATGTTGCACACACAAATACAGGTATACATGACAACATTCACAATTGGGAGAAAGTAAACACATGTAAAGGCACAGTATTAAATCATACATGCATAAAGTTGGCTGTAGTACACACTCTACTACTACAGTAATTTCATAGCCTCCTCCTGTTGCTATGGCAGTGAGATCAAGCGTGGCGAGTATTCGCTTTAAACACCATGTGATGTCACCTTTATGTAAACATAATCTCTCACAGTTCTTGTGTACTTTTTATGTTTAGTGCAATAACATAAACCTTGAATAACACCATGTGACCCATATAAAATGACACTAGTGATGCTGAACGTATTCTCAAGAAGCAAAGTCATGATATGACTAGAAAATTTGAATTGCTTTGATATATACCATAGATTGGAGTGTGCAGCAGCAGTTATCTGTCATTTCTGTCAGAAGATTCACCTTGTAAACAGATCCTGTACACTTACAGTATAGACAAATACAGTCCACTATTGTACATACATTTCCTCTTAAAATTTCAGTAATATTTCCTTTTGCTTACTCTATTAAGGTAAGAGTACATTAAACTATATATATATAGAATACGTGTTAATCAACTGTTTATGTTATTGGTAAGGCTTCTGGTCAATAATAGGCTATTGACTAGTAGGTAGGCTTTTGGGAGTCAAAAGTTACTCGTGGGTTTTCACTGCACAGGGGATCAGCACACCAAATCCTTGCATTGTTCAAGAATCAACTGTTTTTGCCTTAGTAACTTTATAGTTTAAGAGGCATACATGTTTCCACTTCTTATTACTATAGTATGAAATGCTGTAGGGTCAACTTGAGTCCTAAATATGTCTATAATAGTAAGATATGGAAGTAGTACTACATATACACTGAACAAAAAACACAATGTAGAATACTGTATATTGAAGCTGTAGCTTGAAGTGTAGAGCAGAGCCACTAATGAGCAGAGTTTATTGTTCTTTCAGTGCAAGCAATTTCTTTCTTTCTTTTTTTTTTTTTTTTTTTTGAGATGGAGTTCACTCTTGTTACCCAGGCTGGAGTGCAATGGCACTATCTCAGCTCACTGCAAACTCTGCCTCCTGGGTTCAGGCAATTCTCCTGCCTCAGCCTCCTGAGTAGCTGGGATTACCAGCACATGCCACCATGCCCAGCTATTTTTTTGTATTTTCAGTAGATACGGGGTTTCACCATGTTGAACAGGATGGCCTCGATATCTTGATCTCGTGATCCACCCGCCTCGGCCTCCCAAAGTGCTGGGATTACAGGCTTGAGCCACTGCGCCTGGCATTTCTTGTTTTAATTCTTTATGTCCGTGAATAAATTATAAATGATTTGCCTTCATGACCATCGGGAGACCCGTTTTTCATGTTGCTTTCCAGATAGACTTGAA